GCCAAACTCATAATTAAGTTTAAAAAATAATAGTGAAAAACATTTTAAGATACCTACTTAGGCTATTTTGTATTTGATATTTAAATATTTGGCCAATTGTCTATTTTAATTCAACTATGTATAGTTAATGTATTTTGTATTTGTATAACTACATAACTACTAACAAATAATACAGGGACGAACTGAGACTTCAAGTCGAGTTTATCTGAACACACGGCATTAAAGAATATGTTAGATTTTAAGCCTTTCCGGTACTTTGTTCTTTTTCTAACTGACGTCCAAGGTATTCCCTAGAAATAATAGTAATGAAATATTTGTTTTTTTTTCTACGACAGCTTGTGATTAAACACATGTGTACAACAAATTAATAATCTAATAACATACCAATTATGAACCATAAGCTTTTGAACAGCCAATAAAGCTTCGAAACGCACATCGGCATCCTCATGAGACAACAGCTGCATCACGAGTTGTTTTCCTCCGAGTTGTTCAACTACACTTTATTAAAATTAAAAAATACAAATCAGAATATCGAGACGATTTTTTTTATAATTCTTACTGTTTTCCACGAGGATAATGACGGACATACTCGCCAATGTCAAAGCTAGCTACACTTAAAACCAATGGATCTCGGCTCGTTTCCAACAAATTTACTAAATTGCGCAACAGTTCATAATTCCGTTCATTGAGACGCGATGCATTTTCACGCCAGAACTGTGTAGATCTATGAACGGGACTCCATTTTAAACGGCCAGATTTTACTTCAGTGGCATATTCATCAAATGAGCTAGTTAATTTAAACAAAATAAATAAAGTGATTATGATATCACTACCTACAACAGATGTAGTAAAATTATTTTTTAGTTTGATTTTACCTCAAATCTTTTACCGAGGCTTGGAGTCGCTCGTTCAAGAACTGAATGTCCTCAACTATGTCCTCGTCATTAAAATTTCTCTGTTCAAGAATACTCAGTTGTTTTAATACTTCACATTGGACCATAACGCTACAATGTTCTTTGGAAGTAGAGCTGTCCTCCGGCTTTTCTAGTAGGTTCTAAACAACAATGATCGTTATAAAAGAGACTATGTGGTTCATATGTTAAATATTACTCTGAAAACCGCAAGAATAATTCTGGTGACCTTCTCTTTGGCAGAATCGCCTAAAATGTCTGCCAATATCGGAATAACATTAAATCTGAAAATGATTTACATTATGAAGACCATAAGTAACATTTTTGTTTAATTCATCTAATATGGGATAAGATATGCAAAAATAGATATGTTAAATTTTACAATAGTAATTTTTGACAGATAACTTAATTTTTAAAGATTTTTGTTTGTTTGAAAAAGTTTTGACTTTTTGTTACATAAACAAAATTTAAACTCGTTGAAAAATGCTTATTTAAATGTGTTTTGGATTGACATTTATTATTAGTTAATGTAAAATTATATGAATTATATATGAAGGGCACAGGGAAAAACGGTAGTTGTCCCATTATGAACATTTTAGAGTATAGCAAAAACAAAGTTCGTGAAATCCTCTACCTCTTACATAAGAACAAAACAAATCACATTAAATGCTATTCTAATAATAAATGTATTTATTTAAACAATCTATTGACATAAATAAAAAAAGTTATTGGCATAAATTGAAAAAAACTATTTGAAAAAAAAAATGTTCATAATATGACAACTACCGTTTTTTCCCTGTGCCCCATCATCATATATCTATGAAAATTTCCCTTTTAGTAGTTATTTTACTCGTTTATTTGTCCAGCCAAACGAGGATTGAACGTCATGACCCAAACACAGAAGATCAATTGATATTGTATCTGGAAGTTAACCCGTCCAGACAATACACTTATCACAGCCGGCATGCCATCAACTGAAATAAACTCAGTTCTGTATTCATCACGGCGTAACAACATTTGTAAACAACGCGCAACCGATTGCATGTACTCATTATTCTAAAACACCCCACGGATAGTTAAAGTATTTTATTTTGAAATAATTTTTATGAAAAAACAAAAACAAATTTTACAATATGCTTACAGTCGACAACAGCTGCTCCTTAATCCAGTTCAAATAAAACTGGAGATCAGTTTTACTAATGTAATCCGTCGAGTAGCAAGCAACTTTAGCTAATATACGTGCTGACATATTGTTAATAAAACCATCAGCAGCATTCAACAAGTTCAAAAAGTTCTTACACACCGGTTCATTTTTCCGCAGAGCATATTCGTGAAATATTTCTGCTCGTGAATTATCTTCCTAAAAACATGATAAAATATAGTATTTCTATAACAAATGGTATTGCCGTTGCTTATGCTCAGAGCGGTTTTAATTATCTACCATTAAACTACTTGTTTGCAACATTTTATTTATTTTAACTATATAACTATGAAGTTAAAATTACTAGCGCATATATTGAAATAAAATATTAAATAAGATTATGTCTATATGTTTTAAGTGAAAATAAGTATCATTGACGTACTTTAAAATATGAAGTTTACATTCAATAAAGTGCCCCTTCAACTAATACTTAGGCAAATTGTAATAAGAGATAAGCGTAATGACTTATGGCATTTATAATAGAATTACTGTAAGTAAATCATCAATCAAAACGAGCACATATTGTATAGTCGATTCTTTAGATATATGTTCTAACAAACCAAAGAACGCTTCAGCTGCTTGTGCACGGTTATTATTTAAAATTTGGCCTCTATTTCTACTAGCGTCGTAGGTACTAATAAAATTGAACACTTCTTGCGATATAATTTGTGACCTATTAAAAACAAATATTATTTTATTATGGCCGATACAATGGCGAAAATAATTATTTTTAAGACATTATACTTCAAATAAGACGCCCAATTTAATTTTAAATTTCTTATTTCTGCCGCTTGTTGTTGTAACACGCTAGTAGCAGCAAACATATCTATTACATACATTTTTTTTAAAAACTTTTAGTAACTGGTACACGCCCTTTAAAAAATAAACGTTCAATATGTGCACTTACCAATGTTTTCTTCTGGGAAGGTTTGTAATTTACTGGCAACACTTCCGGTTTGAGCCATTTCTGTAGAGATATTTCGACGTCTATAAAGTAATAATTGAAATAAAGACAATAATATTGCTGAATCTTTCACAAGAATATCGCACAAAATGAATAATATAGACTATAGGGACATATAGTGAAGAATATAATATTACTATGGTTACTCTTAGATTTGATTTATAATATTCTTTTTGATAAGTGGATTGGAAGTTTAAATTACATTTTTCTATAAATTACAATTGCTACCAACACTATGATGACTACGAAATCAGTTTTATCTGCGCGCATTTCCCCACCGCACTTTCCCTCCAATCCTAACTTTAAAATTCTTATAACATTAAAAATAGTTATCCCAAACTGGTTGTCGACCAGTCATAATTTATAATGCATTATTCTTAATTTAAGAAATATATGCGTTACCATTTAAGTTTCAAAAGTTGATATTAATAAAACTAAGTTAGGAAGGGGTAAAAACAAATGAAAATTGTGGAAAATTGAGATTACATTGTATAAAAACAATATGAAAAAAAAAAATGTAATTTCTTATTTAGCCCTATGAGATATTGAGTGACTCGTGATAAAAAAAATCACCCTATATTATATTATGTATTATGTATGTTATTCAAGGTTTATCACGAACGAACAGCTTATTATGGTTATATTTTAAGGAAATATTCAAAGAATTCTAGTTTGCTTACAATATATGTCCAAGTATATAATATAAGTAAACTTCAGAATTCTAAAATCAGTGTAAATTTTCCAAAAACTCAAGAAAAAAGTTTTGAATGGTTTGTGACTTAATGGATACTTAGGATTTTCAAGCTATGTTTGCCCAAAACCAGCAGTTAGTTCTTTAAGAAATTTGCGGTCGGTTTTCTAAAAAAATCAACGAAACGCCATAGGTACTCTATATTATACATGCGTCATACTATACTGTATTATAAGTTTTGAGCAAACAGTTTGTGTTGCCAAAAAAAATCTTGTTTGAATTATACTTTTGAACATATTCTTGAATACATACTATTTGTTATTACAGCTAACAAAAAAAAAAAACATTATTACCATATGTGTAAACTACAGTTCGTTTGAGTATTCTGCACACTAGCCACTGCATAGTATGAAAATGGTACATTTATTATTTTGTTACAAAAGGCACAATTAAAATTTTTCAACTTGTAAAGAAAAATGAAGGCAAAATATCTAATTGTTATGCTTTTTATTATACTTATTAATAATTGTCAGACAGTAAAATCAGACGGATCTGATGAAGAGAAGTCTGAACAGGTAAACAGTTTTGTTTTTTACATGTACTATGAATTTTCTAACCTTCTAGTTTAAATGCTCATCTAAATATTCTCAACTCAACTCGACTCAAAAACAATCCGGGGCAGTAATTTCTTTTTTGAAGAAAACTAAATAAAATGATTACACAATAATCATTTAATCACTCTCAATTATACTAAATCTTGAAGATCTGAAAACTCTCCGTCCCAATTATCCTATGTCAACTTGTAATATTCTTTAAGAAAAATATGGAGATTTTCAAAGTATATTTTTTTTTATATACTTTAATAGATTATGAACGATAATTCCCTTATGACAGAAATATTCTAGTTAACAAAAAAAAAAAAAGAAGAAAACTCTTTTTGAAATACATTTTTGACAATTATTATTCAAACACACTGAATATGTCGTAAAACTTAGGTTGAAATTTTAATAACAGACAAATTATGAGGTTAGACTGAAAGTAAGTAATAAAAAATCAAGTTCATTCCTTTTTGTGCATTGAAATAAAAAAAACAATTTGAAATACCTTCTCAGCTATCGCAATGAAACTATTAAACGGCTTGCCGTAGGAAAGATAGAGTATCGATGCTACCAAAACTCTTGTTTTAAATGATTCAACACAATTATTATTATTAATTGACTTATTAACTGTCAACTGTATGTTTAGGTAACTATTACTGATTGTCAGACAACACAAAACGAATTAGATCTGATCGAAGCTCTATTTGACAATGACGTTGAAGAGAAAACTGATCTGGTAAGAATAATTACATGATTTTTTTTAAATCGCTAACACGTACGGGTGTTTTTCAAATCTTACAAAATTAATTGAACCCCCTTCCCAGTGTCGTAGAGAGCTGAAACTTGGCACAGACACTCATCTCAACGACAATACAATATCCTGTAATATTATTGGGACTCGGACATCCAGATCGCCCATGACTATGTTGGGGGTCATTTTACTAAAATTTCACGTTTTTTTCAAATCTTACAAAATTAAATTAACCTACTTCCCAATATCGTAGAAGGCTGGAATTTAACCCAGACACCCATTTTGGATGAAAATACAATGTTCCGGCATCATATTAGGACCCGGACATCTAGGTCCCAAATGCCATTGGGTCGAAAATGGGGATCATTTCATTAAAATTCCATGTGTTTTCAAATCTTTCAAAATTAATTTAGTAATCTATTCACAATTATTAAGTACCTTTACCAAGACTAAAAAGTAAAAAATAAAATAAATTAATAAAAAAACAACTTTTTTAAAAACATGATTTTCTAAAAAAAATAATAGTAAAAAGTGAACCAAAAAGTAAAAAATAAGTTTACAACAAAAACAATTTAACAATTAATTTTAGCACATTTTTTTTTTAAATGTCAATTACTTTGAAAACAACCGAAAATTAACTACAATTTTGAATAATGTTAAACATCTTTAATTTCTTACTAAAAAGAAAAGCGTGAGCCTTATTCAACAAAGTCCAAATTCATGAGTTAAGAATTATGAAATGTATGTGTCACACAGTAAAAGTGAACCAAATTAAAATTTCAAAAAAAAATTATATGAAATTTTATCTGATAAATTTATTAGGGACTTTGTTGAATAGGGCACACGTTTTTCATTTTAAGCAAAAATTAAAGCTGTTTAACATTGTTTAAAATTGTAGTTAACTTTCGGTTGTTTTCAAAGTATTTGACATTTAAAAAAAAATTTGCTACAATTGATTGGTAAATTATTTTTTTAATTTATCAATAAACATGAATGATTAAACATTTATATTACTAATATTTTCAAATAGTGTAACTATTTGTGTTTAATAGTTTAAATAAATAAATAACTCAATAATTAATAAACATTTAGCTTAAAAACGTTGATTACTTCTCAGTTTTCTAATACTTTTGGTTTGGATAGCACAGTCCAAACCAAAAGCCAGCACGGCTTTTGATAAATGTTTAATGGGTACACCACTATATTGAACATAAAAAAAAAGTAGCATTAGGAAATGTTTGCCATCGATATAGTATTAAGTTTATACTTTTAATTTTTAAGTTACAGTTATTTACGATTTGCTTTAACAACAACATTAGCTCATTCATAATGGGAAAACACTTATTTTGTGAAAACAATATTTTCGTAAGATTTCTTGTTATTTTACCTTGTTTTAGAATCAAAAACATTTACAATACTGACTTAAAATTTCGATTAAAACAAATTTATTTTTTATCTAGATTTTTTTTTAGATTTAATCGATATCCAATCCTCTAAAGTACATGTTATACTTAGTTTATTTATGGTCGATAAGTTATGATGGTTAAAACTCAATTTCATAGAATTTTGTTAATTCAAATTTAACGAAAGCCTTAAAAATATTTCAGGTGATAGATGCAATATGGGATATTTCGGACAACAAGAAAAACGGATCCATTCCTATTAGACGTTTGGCCCATAACATATTCGGTACACACCGCGAAAACATATCTGGCTGGTTAAAAGAACATCGAGGGTTAATCTGTAACTATGATTTTATGTATTCAGTATTTTATTTACCATTTGATTACTACACAAACTATAAAGATTGGGCTGAAATGCGGATGTTTCCATCTTTAGTGTTATAGAGAGAGTCGCTGGATTTTAAAATAATAATTTATTGTATCTTACATACTTTTTTTTGTATTTTGCGTGGACATAATTTTACATTTTATAAGCCGGGGTACAACGTTATTCCTATGAAGGTTTCCAAGTGCATTAAAACAAAGTAGTATCTCACATTAATACTCAATAATAGCAAGTGCTAAGCCCTCCTCCTTCTTGACAGTAGGCCAATCGGGTAAGGTGAGTTTTGCACTTATTCTGAGTGACTTACAATACATACGATTCTTGTGTAGTATAATTCTATCTACAACCCATTCCCATTAAAAATGTTGAAAACTGATATTTTTCAGCCGAATCTATACCATATTATCATAGTTCAACTTCTATAATTTTATTAATGTGCATTTTTTATTTCATACAAGAGAAAATTGGGAAATTCTGTATTTTTTTTAAAACTTCAGATGTAATAAAAAAAAAACACGTTGACGTTCTGTTAAATAATTTTAGCCGATATAGATACAACGGAAATATTTTTACAAAACTGTATAATTTATTTATTAGTAGATAAAATAGAGTTGGGGTTAAGTAAATGTATGTTTTTTGATTTGGTTTTCTTTCACAAAAATGTTTGGTAGTTCAATTAGTTTTACAAAATAATTATGCCAACAAAAATGTATATATCTACAATACATAATGTAACATCCTTTTACAAATATTACTTAACATTTTGAAATGTTAGATTCTTCTAAAATAATGTAAAAAAACAAAAATAATAAAAGGACAGTGCTCAGTGGGGTCAGATCATAGAGGGGATGGAGTATATGGGTAACGGGGAATTCACAGGTTTTTAAAAATTAATGGTTACCTATAAGGAATTAGTCTAAGGTGAATATAACTATTTTAATATTTTATTAATTTTAATCTAGTATATTTCAAAATGTTAGTTGTAGATAACAATATAGAAAGAATAAACCAGACCAACTTTAAATTGTTGTTGTATGCCACTATAAGTCTTCCGGAGCTAAAAGATATTTATATCAAGTTGAAGAGAGCCAGGGATGCACTTCATTAAATATTGTACAGTGATAAATATAAAGCAACATTTGAAACTTTTTAAATATAAACACTTTATTTAACTTCAACACATAAGAACAGAGTTTTTATTTCATTGAGAAGGTATTAATTAGTTTAACTAATTAATAATGCCACTAGAAGGCTCTTGATACCAACTTACGGTTAGAGAATGAGAGTAATCAACAAATAATTAATTGATTTCGTCTTCACGTCTTGCAATCTTGTCTTACATACAACACGAACAAGTAAAATAAACCGTTTCCCTAACAATTGTTTTTTTTATAGAACACTGATAATTACTATAATGCGATTCGGAAAATATGTTTACATTTTTTAATTTTAATAAACACAGTAGTATCGCTGTGAGCCAATTTTTATTGCGTTTAATATAATATTAATATCCCCAAAAAAACCTAACCGTGAAAAAAGGGCCAAATTCCATACCCCAAAAAAAAAATCAGTCTATCAAAGTAGTAATATCTACATTGCGTACAAGTCTGCCTTTTCTTTAGTTCACAAACTCACTTCACTCCTACTTTCATGAGCCACAATATTTTTTTATTTGTATTGCTTAACAACACTTAGCCAGTTTCTGAATGGGGCATACAAAAGGCTTGGCCACAATGTAACACTACTTTGATGGGCTGACTATTTTAAGAGGGGAGCTGGAGCTTTTTTTTTCTACTGAGTTCTCTCTTTCCCATCGCCCACTGACCACTGTATTTGAATACAAACGGTACTGATGTTTCATGCCTCATTTAGAAACTGACCAAATGTTAAGCAATAAAAAAAAAAATAGCGTGGCTCGTGAAAGTAGGAGTGAAGTGAGGTTATGGACTAAAGAATAGGCAGACTTGGCCGCAATGTAAATATCACTACTTTGATAGGCTGATTTTTATGGTTATGGAACTTGGCCCTTTTTTCACGGTTAGGTTTTTGTTGGCGATAATATTGTCCATATCAAAAAATATTGAAAACTGACTAGAATCGCAATGGTTGCTACCGAGAAATTTGCTGCTAAAAATAACAAAGCCATGTCTGCTCTTAAAGTACTATCTGTTGTAATCTCTTATCACTTTTATTTATCATGTTTCTGTTTATAGGTTTACATAACCTATTTTGCTCTTCTTTCTCTGTGTGTCATGTGTACTAGTTAATATTTTGTACATTAAGTTTAATATACTCTTATGTATTTTTAG